ATTGGCGTGCTGTTTTTTGCCAAAAATTGGTACCCTGAGATGTCTGTATGAGCAGATGCATTGTCATGGTGGCAAAACGAGTCCCAGTTTGCCAAAAATCAGACCCGTCTTTGTTGCACATGTTATACAGTCTTTTCAGAACCTCTAAACAGAAAGCTTGATTAACAGACTGACCTGTTGGATTGAACTCCAAATGCACCAGGAGTCGACACTCTTGTCTGACATTTTCGTCTGTTTGGGAAGTTGATGGATGTCTAGAACAAGATTTGTCATCGATCCACATTTGAAATGAGAGAACCACTCATTCACTTGAGTTTTTCCCATCGTGCTGTCCTACTAAGCTGCGTTCAACGTCACGACAGTTTCGGCGGCACTTTCCCAAGCAGGAAACGAAATCTCACAGCCACACGCTGCTCTCTTAATTCGGCCGTCACCAAAAAGAGGTTTGAGTAGAACTGCTTTCACGAAAAAATTCACTGTGGCCATAGCGAACCTTCCCAGGCAGAGCCACCATGTGCACTGACTCAGAGGGAGTTGATTGATGCTCACCAAGCATTGAAAATATGTAGTATGAACGCTCTGCTCTGCCCAGTCCGATTACAGATTTTTGGGGGTACCCCTCGTAGTTACTACTTAAAGTGACTGTTATAATTTCAAAATAAGGAGATCTTTTACATCCACATATTTATTTCAAAGGGAATATTCAGATATTAGCAACAAATCTATGTAGCATTCCTTATTTATGTCGGTTGTGCTGTTAATGCTTAAAATGCTACGTGATCCCTAGTTCATGATGATTCCTGGAGTAGAGTTGAACTTGACATATGCTTACAGAGTTCTCCAAAGGCTAAAGCTGAATGATGAATTTTGACATCATCTTAAGGCAGAGGTCAAGCTGTATCGCTAATTACGGCAAGAGCTCATTTTGGCCATGGCGTTGGTTTGTTGCACATGGCAGCAGGGCACCGTGTTCTTTTCAAACCACACTGTCTTTCTTCCGGTGTCAGTGATATGGGATTACATCCATGGCGTGCTACTGCAAAGATATGCTGAAGAAAGAAACGGTATCAATGTGGTCAGTGGCCCCGTGTTTGACTTTGATTATGATGGACGTTATGATTCCTTGGAGACCCTGAAACAGTAAGAATGAATTTCACTTTCTCCTAAAACTAGCTGTTGTGTGTGATTACTATTCATTGAGGCCAGTAGTCTTTTTTTTTTTTTGAAATCTGGCCAAACTCTTACTTATGTCTGTGACATTTCTGACCACAGAAGGAACCCCTTAAAAAATCTGAGTAGCATGGATATTTCTCTCAGTGTTCAGTGGATTTTTCTTTTTTCGTATGCGTAATTCTTGAACTGAGTTTTTTATGTTGCACTCTGTTCTGTGTTGAGGTAACTTTGATTTAGCATTACCCTTCATATCCTGTTTGAGTGAAGGTGAAGAGCCATCTGGAGTGGCTACCGATGAATCCAAGAAGGCTTAGAAAGCTGGACTGCACCAGGCCTGGTGGTCTCTGATGAGGGCATAACCTTTATCAACTCCGAATGGGGATTTTAGTGGCAAATGGGGACTAGTGGAGTGACCATCTTGAAGGAGGCACCAGTGATGCCATCTTTTATAAAAGGAGAAGGTCGGAACATTGTAGAAACCGGTTGGTCTTTATTAAAACAATAATTATAAGACTCTTTGAAACAATCTATTTGGGCTATCCTCCTCATACCTACTCCCTCAAAAGACACACATGCACGCGCAGACACACGCACACGCACACGCACACACACACACACACACACATCTCCACTGAGCTCTACACCAAATCCCTTGCCATCAAATAGACCCATCTCATAGTGACCCTACAGATAAAGTAGACCAGCCCCATAGTGTTTGCAAGACTGTAAATCTGTATGTAAACAGATTGTGCAACTTTCACCTACAGAGCAACTGTGGTTTGAGCCAGTAACAGTGCGATTCATAGCCAGCTGAGGACTCAGCTGTGCCAGTAGGGGTAGTTCTGTGACTGCACAAATCTAGGAAAACTACAGTTTTCGTCCTGTCTTCCTTGAAGAATGAGAGCCTCGAGCCTCGTAAATCACAGCAGTGGGATGGACAGTGACAAGCACCACTCCCCACACTGCCCACTCACAGTGCTAATCGGAGTGCTTTCTCCTCACGCTGCTTTACACAATGCGATTCCAGATAGGACTACCTTTGGGAAAAACAACAGCCACCTGCCATTTTGGAATATTGTGGGAAGTTGGGAAAAAATAAAAATAAAATAAATAAGCATAGTAATGATTGGATTTTAGGGAAAAACGAAACAAATTTTAAGACAGAGGGATAGTTACAAGTGTATCCAAATAAGCCCAGTGCTATATATCTGTGAGATGAAAGGAAACAGAATTAAGATGATGTAAAGATTCTTGGGACTTCTATGATAACCTGCTATAAGGAGAAATATATATGCATATATAATTACATATATAATTAATTGGAAGATAAAAAGAAAGTCAGTTACAACTAAGGAGGATTCAGAGGAGCATGTCTTGTTGAAGGAAGTAGAATAAAAATCCGCACCACTTTTCTTTTTGTCCACTCCCCACACCACAAGTGCAACGACGTCCTCAATAAAAGCATGTTCAAAAAAGGTACTTCCTTTTCCTTAGTTTCTCATTTCTGGTGTTGTTAGGTAAAACTAAAAAGAACATTTCAAGATTCAGGACATTTGTATTGTAAATAAAAATTATTTGGGTTGAATTTGTTCAACTGTCTTCCAATTATCACTCTCAATCAGACAGGATATGTTGAAATATTATGACTCTTTTTCATAAGAATTGCTAGGACATTTAATTATTTTCTTGAGTTTGATGTTTAGATATATTAGAAGCATACTCTCCTGGAATAGTCATTAGAAGGAAGATAGTCTTTCCAAAAGTGAACATTGGCTTGTTTTACAGAAACCGCAAAGTCATCCGGAATCAAGAAATTCTGATTCCAACTCACTTCTTCCTGGTCCTAACAAGGTGTGCAAACGCATCGCAGACTCCCACACAGTGTGAAACTCTGGACACGTTAGCTTTCATTTTGCCTCACAGGACCGATAACAGTGAGAGCTGTGAGGTAAGCCGCCCTTACTGAACATATAAATTCAGGTACATTTGTGTGACGTGTGTATGATATCTGCTTTTCTTGTGGGGCCAGAACAAAAAAGAAACACATAACTCTTGAAGACATGCATACTTTGAAATGCTGGGGTAGTTCTTAATTTGCTCTTCTAAGATGACTTCTCTTCAGAGACCACCACTCTTCTCATCTGCTGAAAACACGAACAGTTAGATTAGAGTGTAAAAACGCAGTGCCCTCCTATGGCTCGGCCCTGAGTTCTAGGTATGAATTTATTCTTGCTTCACAACTGCAGTGATCATTGCAAAGGTACCAGCACTGTGGTACATGCGTTGTCGCGTTGTGGCTAGACAATATTTCAAATGCGTTTTTATGTATCAGTTTCTGTAAGAAACCATGTGTATCCTTAAAGATCCGTCCTTATTCTATTGCCATTCCAGTGTTCCTTTAGGAGCATTGTTTTGTCTTTTATATATTTGACCCTAAAGACAGCCTGAAATGGTTACATTTTTAAAGTTTGTCCTTATGGTGGGCTAAAGTATCTCTTTCTCTTTTTGGTGTGTGTGTTTCTTTATTTCCCACTGACGTCACACAGAGTCACTAGACTCGTCAGCAGGCAGGTTCCGGCTTCCCTCTCAGCCCCTGCAGATGCATGGTAGATATTCGCACCCTGCGATCAAAGGGGCTTAAGGCGTGGTCTGATCTCAGCAGGAAGGATTGCTGTGATTGCTCATTCATTCATCCCTCCCCTTTTTCATTTTCCCCTTCTTTGGTTCAGCCAGTTAGTCAGATAGTAAATGGTTATTGTTCCTCTCGGACAGGGGACATAACGGACAGTGAGGCCTGCTCTGGGCCTTCTGCCACGTCTGTTCAAAGAGTCTTTCTGTGTTCCAGTGATTTAACCAAAGTGGGGAGTGGGGAAGACACATCTCTCCCTGTTTTTATGATAAAATATCTGAATTAAGTGACTATTCCATGTATAACATTTCCCATTGAGTAATTTTTTTTTAAATTTTCAGAATTTAGTGTCGACTGTCAGGCTTTCCACTATTTGTATGCCTGTTGGGAATCTAATATTAAATGATTGCTGTATGAGGCACTACTAGATGTATACCAAGTATCCCCTTCTTCATTGCTTTCTCCTCTTGAAGAGGTAGAGTTTTCAACCCTAAGTGTATCAGGGTTACATTCAGCAGACAGTAACAGAAAGCCCAGTGGCAGTGTCTTGAACAAGAAAGGAGTTCCTCCTGGAAGGAGAACTTGAGGGACAGTCCAGACATGGCTTAATGGACCAGCACACCCTCAGGGAGTCACACTTCTTGTTTCATCCTTCTGCTCCGTTTTTAGTATGTGGCTTTGGCCCACGGGGGCTAGTGATGGGCTCTACATCTCTAGATATCAAATGTACATTCTGCCCATCACACACACACACACACACACACACACACACACACGCAGATCCCATTTAAAACAAAACAACAAAGGCAGCAATGGGCATATGCTTTCTAGTATTAAATTAAAAATGCATGGGGGAGTGGGGTGCCAGCCCTACCCACTACTAGAACTCATTGGTTCAGTAATACTACTTCTGGGTTCAGTAAATACAATTGTACGGTTGAGATATATAAGCATTATATTAAAGTCATCGAGAGCATGAGTGATATTACAATAATACAGTCGGACACATTACATGGTAGCATTGCTCACCTCAGCCCAGCTTGGTGGTCCACGTGGAGAGAGGGGGAAGGGAAAGGGGAAGAGAGGGGAGCCAGAGAGAGCCAGAGAGGTCCGAGCCTCTATATTGCTGACCCATGCCTATATACCTTTTGGGGGCATGCCAGCCCACTAATTACAGGTAGACATACGCCACAGGAAGG